ATATAAGACTACCTTAAACTGGAATTACACAGTTCATTGATTACCAGTAATAGTACTTTCCTCACCCTCAACAATTCATTGTCTGAATCATCATCATCATCTGATGAACTGCTTTTTCTGGTATTTTGGTTGCTGAGCTCTGCCCACGCAGGAGTTCCCATTGTTGCCTCAAACTTGTGTTTAAGAATGCGTGCATATGCATCTGAACTGCTGCCACCAGATAATACATCAGGTACATGCCTTCCTTGTGCATACACAGCATCTGTAACACTAAAATTAAATGCAACATGCTTCTTAATGTGGAGATTTGTAAACTCCAATGACATTGTCATTTTATTTCCATTTATCCAGTTCCATAGGCATTAGTTTGTTTTATTTTTTGTGTTATTTAACAATAGCTGGGGACATGTAGTACATACAACAAATTTAAGAATGATTAAGTGGTGGTTAAACAACACTATTCAACCAGTTCCAGACAAATAAGGAACATTATGGATGACTGATTTATAGGTTGATAAGCATTAAATTAAATGAGATGACCATTACTGTTGCATATGCAAGGATTTGGAAGGAGATAATAGTGGCCTATTTTAAGACAGCATCCTAGCATTATGTGCAGATACTGTTTAAAACCATGAAATATCTCAATCAGACTAATGCGGTCACGTATCCAAGCTGGAATCTCCAGACTAAAAGTTCAAAGTACCAACCAGCTTAGAAATCATGTACAGGTAGCCCTCGATTTACGCCAGGGATGCGTTCCTGGATGAACCGGCATAAACTGAAACTCTTTTATAATGTAAATCAATGGGAAGTCAATGACATGCGTTCCCAGCACCCAAACATTGACGAGTAATATAATGGCATTACATTTAAAGCTCTGAAATAACATAAATAAAATGAAGGGAATTTAAAAAAATATATTTCGTACACTTACAATCAGCAATTCGTTGGTCCCCATGATTCTTTCATGTGATTGATGTGTACAGTCATCTCTGCTGTTATGCGACAGTTGCATTCATGTAAGATGCCGACCTATAGAAAATCGCGTAGTAAAATAACCCCGGTACCTCGCAGAAATTAAATTAGTCCTTTGAAAGTTTAAAGCGCCAGGAATGAAACTGCATAAGAGTAAACTCGCATATGCAAACGTTTTCATTTCACAAACAGCTTTTACCGATTCATCACTCTCATTGGAGCAAATTTGCGTTAATGAAACATACGTAATTGCAGAGATGACTGTATTTATAATTTTTATTCAAAATCAGCGATGTATGAATTACGATTTAGTATAAGAATCAGTACGAGATACATTGTAAAATGTTATAAATAATAATAAAATATTTTTTTTTCACTTTTTGACTTGCTGGTTTCAAAATCAGCATTATTCTGAATCGGCGCAAATCCCCAATTATGAGAAGTGGTATTTTCTGTCAACATGGCCATCCATGAAGCCCTTTCCTTATGTGTAAAATATGCATGATTTTAAAATAAAAAAAACTATAAAGGCAGTCATCATGCCTATGAAATCTCCCCTCCCCACAAGAAGTATTCACACAATGATGTTACATAACTGTCAGTATTTTTACAACTTCAAGACTACAATAATAAATATTTAATTTGAAACTAGAAATACCAACAAATCTGGCAGAATTTCAATATACACGACCTCTTTTAAAAAAAAGATAATCTCTTCTTATTCCTTAGACATTTCCACTTTATGTGGGACATCTGATGTTGATATATGCAGTAGAAATTAAGTTCTTATAAAATATAATTCATAAAACCAGAGAAGACAGACATAAATAAAAAAGTGAGAAATGAAGTAAAAACTGATAAATAACAAAAGCATTTAGAAACAAACAGACTCTAGTGGTTTGGCCAAGCAAAGTGAATGAAGACAGAATATCCAAAATTGCAATGGAATTGAAAACAAACGAGAAGAAGCCTGGCAGTATTTTCTTCCAAAATTACAGGACCAGAAAAGAAGAATACTCCAGGTTAAACTCACTCATAATGTATACTGTAAAAACTTTTAAAACATTTGTTTTCAATGGTGATATGATCACAATTCAATAACAGACGACACAACATGCTGGGTTGTCATCTTATCTACCCATTTCCACTGTTTCACCTTCAGTGTGTGAGGTCCTACTTTATTCTAGTGTGATGAACCATATCATAAGTACAGTCCTCTGTGAGAGTGACAATGCAGGTAAGAAAGGGGCTAAGGAACATATGAAAGGAAATAATAGATTAAAATATGAAAGAAATCATTTCCTGTTGAATTTCTATGGGATATTCCCACTAATTATGTATTATAACAAGCAAAAAATACTATGTTGACAGCTTTCATAAAGTGATATCCTTAAAAACACAATGGAAAGTTCCATTATAAAATTCTGTATATATAACCAGTTCTGAATCATCTTCACAACTAATTACATAAGCAGAATTGTCACTCACCAGATATTTACATCTTCATCATCTTGCCATGCAGGTTCCCTTTCTGGTGAAGCTAATGTATCAGACATTTGTGGGCTACTGTCATAATTTCCTTCTTCCACACCCGAGTCTTCCATTGCAGAAGCAAGGGAGCATAATGGTACTTTGGACTCATCATTTAGCAGATCTGAGCTGTCGCCCAGCACAAGTTTTTCAAGTCTGAACAACAATATTATAAACAGATCAGATACAACAATACCTAGTGTGTTTGAAGCAAATGGATTTTATATTACATAAACTCAAATTTCACATCTTAAGAGGGTATAGCAATTAAGGTATTACAAACAGTAAGAACAAACTCAATAAAATTATATAATTTGTTCTTTCCTTTACACATTCTTTGACATGTGTAGAACTTCGAGTGAAGTTTACCTCTAATATAATTAACATTACTATAGACTGAAATGGGACAGAAGTAACACGACCTGCACAAGTAGAGTGAATGGGAGACAAATTAAACATGATAAGCAGCAAGGTATATTCACAATCATGGGCACAGAGTTTTGAACTACATGGTTCAAATTGTATGAATATTTACACAATTTGGGAGGAATTATGATTTATATCTTCACAGACTTTGGATAGATTTTTTCCAAAATTAACTATCTGAAAATTAAACCTAACTATTCACAATTAAATTCTACCTATCATAACTTACTGCAGTGGTTCTCAACTACAGTACTGTTATGGAACCATTCTGTCAAATATACTGGTAAATATTACCACAAGGCTATGTATAAACCATATTCATTCAGATATTAGCCTGTTGCTGGTGATGTATGGCCTGAGCAAGAAGTAACTGGAGATAAGGACAATGGTGAAAAGTATGACTGAGCTTTTGATATCATTAGTGACAATAACAGTTCTTCAGATAAGCAATGAATATCTCACGTGGTTGGGTGAACATGCCATTTTTTGATGGTATGCAACAGTGTATGTAGTGCTGGGAGTGCTGTGTAGCGCATGCAGAGAATTCTATGACTCCTGTATCCAATCCCTTCACTATGTATAAATTAGTTTTACGGTAAAAATTAGCAGAGCTGTGATTCTGCTTTTATCTCATTTGTACAAAGTTCAACTTTGCTGCTGTAAGTCAATGTGGATTGAATTAAAGTCTTGTAAACTATAATTTTTGCTATGTTTCTAAACTAATTTGGGTTCAAACACTTGGTTTATTAGTCCCTGTTTTAATTCAGAAGTTTTTCACAAATGTCTCTAATTTTAATGTGATATAATAATCAAGATATTTAAAATAAGTTAATTTGTTCAGTAACTTTATTATAGGCAAACATGTTCACTTTAAAAACCATTGCTTTGTTATAAGGAGAATATACAAAATCTAACACGTCTTCATAAGTGAATCCACACTTGGTAACAACGCAAACTTTCCTTTCAGTATAATGTTTTCCTCAGTTTTAATATGAGAAAACAATTATACGAAAACAGAAAACTTCAAGGCAGACAATTTATTTTATATATGTTCTGTATATGCCTCTTGTTTCTTTCAGCTTCCTCTAGTGGTAAGAAAACCTACCTTTGCTCTTCACGTCTAGACATTTCTCCTACAGGTTCCACATTTTTTTCTGAAGGTTTCCCCTTTCTTCTCTTCTTTGAGGCACAGTTCACTCCACATCCATCATTAATCTGTCGCCTTTTCTTACCTGAACTTACGCTTCGAAACGTATCCATTCTTAATTCATTCCAAATTTCTGAAATAAAATTGGGTTATAAGTCCTTGTGCAATAAACATATTTAGAGATTATTACAAACCTTACACATCTTGAAAATCTAAGAATGTATACCAAAGAACAAGTTTCGGCAGACACATGACAATCTTCTATTATTTGAACGTAAATTTGTGAGCGGCACTACAAATAAATTCCTTTGGAGTCAGGTAATTCTGGATTGAGCTTACATTAAAATATCACTGACCACAATAGTTACTTTGGCCAAAGAGTGCTATATGGTCACAGGTTATATTTGTTGTTTGGTGAAATGTCTCTGTGAATTATTTTTGTAAGCTCATATAACAACCGTGAACAAGTTTGTAGGACGGAATAACAGCAGCATGTCATAGTTGACTTATCACAGTATGTGGAATATTACAGTTGATTGTACAGCAGATTCGTTAGGCTGTGGTACTCTCTCCAATGACCCTACAGCCCAAATCGAGCCTTGGCCTCCTCTAAGGTTTCGAAACAATGTTGTTTTCTAGGGTGGGGTTGTCAGCCCTATGCCAAACCCTCAACCTGTAGGACCTGGCCTTTGTATTTATTTTCCCCAGACTCCCCCCAGGCTGGGGCCCTAACCAAAAGGAATGCGCGGTCATGGCATCCGCGTCTGTGGTGAACCCTTGATAAGTGGTAGTATTTTAGATTTACACTCATCGCTCTGTGGAGGTAGTTAGGATCTCTGAAACGTTGGTAAAGTTCTGCCAATACAACCATTTCCCGGAATATAACTTCTGTACATAGTTCTCAAAGGGAAAGCACAAGAAAGCAAACTCATTACTTTTATTCATAAATCGAATTTTCATCTGCACAATTTCTTTCTCAACATATTAACAAACACAATCACACAACATTACCTGTGAAAATAAATAACTCATGATCTTGTAATCTCACAATCAACCTCCAACATCCTAATTCTGATAATGTGTGCAGATTTGATATTTAGTGTACATCACGTCTCAAACCTGATATTTTAACCAATCTGGCCAACCTGTTAATTAAAATAATGTTTTTACATCTATATCTGTAATAACAATAATTTTATCAGACTTGACAGCTGAAGAATTCTTTATCACTCATGAAATGTATATGAGAAACAATTTAGTAAAGTAATATAGACACTAACCTCATTTAAATGTGATATTGCATAATTTTAAGGTAAAACTATTCAACTTCACCATTATATTTGCATTTAACAGGGTACTTATTTAAATTTTCATATTGGAAGGTAAATCTATTTTTAACATTCCCACTAATGTGTAATTTAAGAGTATGAAGTTGTCTTTAAGCACTTCGGTAGTATGTACATTAATTACAAATAAGTATTTCACAGTGTAAATAATGTACAGAGCCTTAAAAACACACAAAAATAAAAGGTACCTCTTTCATTAATATCTTAACAGAGTAAAATTAAATTAGCCTAAATGTTATAACATGTCTTTACATAACATTACACTACCATTTGTGATAAACCTGATAAACAGTATGTGATTTAAGAATATGATCAGTACTGAGAAAGAATCAGCATCACTGGTGTCACAGAACACTGTGCAAGTTGGTTTGATTAAATGTGTTACAATATGCAACCTGAATTTTCCTACGTTATGATAGTGGTGAAGTGGAAACCATGATACAACTTGTTTAAATATTAAATAATACACAGATACCATTAAATTCTGGATATTTCATGCAATTATAACATTTACATTTCTATACTGCAACACTACATTCATAATGCCAATATCACACATGATGTGGGCAAATAAATTATCTGCATCTTCATACAGCATCATAAAGCCTGCTTGTATGTAAACAATTCTAAATAAGACAAAGGACATTCAGAGGTACCAGACAATAAAATATGTTTTTACTTGCAACATAAGAAGACTATCACAATCTTCAAAGAGTGTTTTCCTCAATTCTAAGCAGTATAACAAAACTCAAATTGTAAAAGATGGTAAAACAGACAGTATTTACCAACTCAGGCTACATATCACAGCACATAACAAATCTGAGCTGATCCATATGCTTGGATAGTTTCCTTTAGCTATTATTTAAAAAATAAAGTTTTTCAGAAACTGGATCTGCTTCCATCAAGTGAAACTACAGAACCTAATCTGGAAAGAGCTACTCTCAATCCAACGGACCATACTCATAAGACTGTATGGTTTTACTAGATAATGGAAGCAGAGCCTAGTTCTGAAACAATGTTTTTTTTTAAATTAACATAGAACATGTCCAAATATATGCATTAGTTCAATGACACACCTTTGTCAAAAACCTTTCATTATCATCTGTTTAAAGTATTAGGTATGTGCTGTAGTGGGTGATTAGCACAGTTTTCCTATCCCATTATGATGCTGATACATGTAATGCAATTACAGAATACAGTAAGACTACAGCAGCAGTTTGTTCAGACAGCCACTACAGCACTACAATATCAAGATTATCTGACCAGCAGAATACTGTATATCCACACCATCAATCTGCCACAACAATTACAGTTTTTTCTTAGACAGCCATAGCATCATCCAAAAGGGCTGTTAGCTCTCGCAAGTGTTGCATCTTACTGCCAGTAGCAGGAGAGGCAGCAGTCGGTCGTCCAGCATAACTAAAAAATAAATGTAATTAACAAACTATCACTATACATATTTAAAAATGACTTCAAATAAATAAGAATAAAACTAATAAATATAATCCACATCATCCTGATATCTGAGTAACACAGTTTCAACAAATCCAACTGATGGCAGAACTAAATAATCAAAATATGTTCCTATTACCAAGAATGAGGAGATGATGACTCAGTGAGTGAAGGTATTGCAGCAACTGCAAAGACAATGGCCACAGGTAGGTGTTACTACCTGTTCCCAAAGAATAACCTCCCTTACCAAATGCAACATGCACTTCCTGGAGTTTAACATTAAAAGTCCACTGCACAGGATCTCCCTAACAAGCCTGATTATTGTTCAGCTTGTCAAGAAATTTTCGACTTTTATACAACCCAAGGGTTTATTACTATGTTCACAAAAGCATGCCACTGGACCCCTATCTTGGGCCAAATAAATCAAGATGCCCACAGACTCACACCACTTTAATATTATCCTCCCAACTACCCCTTTGGCCTTGCAGGTGGTCACTTCCCTTCAAGTTTAGTAACAAATATTTTACATCAATTTAATTTCCCCCCAGTGTGCTACACATCATGCACACTGATTATATCAGCATAACAAACAATATGGGTAGAATATGTTTGCTATACTGGAGTATGGCCTTTCCACTATGTGTGATCACTCTGCCAACTGCAGAGAGGTGCTGCAAGTCGACAGCAATGATGTGAAGGCATGGATTATATTTCCTTGGAACATTCATTTATCATCCAGCATCATTCATCATTCACTTTGTGCAGTTAGTATAACTCCAGTTGAAGAGTCAGAGGAAATTCAGAAGAAAATTACCCAGGGTTCAGGTTTCAAACAGAAACACCATTCATAATCTTTCCAATAAAGTAAGAATGCCTGGCATGTTAAGAAACAGGAAGCTAAAATGTCAGCACTCAGTATTAACATAAGAGAGGTTGGATGAAATCAGAGCTTGGCTTAAATAACTGTTTCACATGGAAACAGGGGATTTAAATTGCCATAACACAGGCTGCCAGCAAAATCTTAATGCCAGGGTTAAATTTTTAACAGTATGCTAGTGTATGTTTCCAGTGGAACCTTGACTACTGACTGACCTTGTTCCCCAGGAGCATCCGCCTTTTATAGCCTTCCTGGCTGTTATGTGGCGAGTACTCCTTATAAAATGGGGTCAGCCAGACGCGTCCATTGGAATCCACTGTACAACGCGAATATGGCCTTTCGTTCTTTATTTTGAAAAATCTTACAAATAGCTGTTGTAAGAGTATATCATTCCTAAGAGTCATACCTTTCCCTGTAATACATAATATACAACTGTGGAATCTGTAAAGTGTTGTGGTAGTGGGTCTCCTTTGATTATTTGACATACAAACAACTGGAATGCATATAAGATGCAATACATGGTTCATAAATGTTAGAATATCAAAAGGGAATATGAAAAACACTAAAAAGCTATTCAAATGGCCTTACAAAACAAAAACTGTGCAATCACTGCAGCCACATGATTCAATAGCCAGACTTAATTTGTAAAACTGGTATTTACAGTCAGTCCACAACAGTAAAATTGATCTGAAGTCCACAGACAAGGCTTAGTTATATTTAAATGTACAAAACAACTAGTATTAGAACCAGAATCTGTTTAGTGGCGAAAGAATCCAAACCAATGGAGAACATTTTTCAACATGGCCTGTAATATATGTAAGTAAACTTCATTCTGCAGAATTTTTCTCACATGAGTCTGGTCAGTGGTCATTCTGAATCCAGCCTGTGAGTAAATTTATATTATATTTTAATTATAATTAGACTCCTGCACTTGTAAACACTTTGTCTTGTATTATCTTATCTTGATACACCAAAACTTTACCACACTTATATGCACATCTCTCACAACCCCCCCCTCAACAAATAGAATACTGGATGAGCGAAAGTTTGTTATGCAAAGACAGACTGAACTATAACATCATGTTGTTGCAAGGTTGCTACCAGTAAAATCTGTCTTGCACTGAAATGCTAAGAATACTGTGCAACTGATCACATTATTGACAGGAAATTTCATTCCTGTTATCACATTAAGTATTAATGTTTATTTATTCTACTTACACTTCTCCTTGCTAACAACATATTTCACTGTCACAAGTTTAATATCACGTCTCAACACAGAAACACCGCAACTCTGCAGTAATGAGAAGCATACAGTATCAACAACAAAGCCTGAGTGGTTTAACTCTCACATGTGACAATCAGTGCTATGGTAAAACTGTCATCCACCAAATTGCCTGATTCTTTGTATAGTAATCAATAATCCCAAAACGTATCATTACACACTGATCATGTACTTTTCAACCCCCACATCTTTATAGTTCTCCCTTTTCTACAAAAGCTGATTTGATCTACCAGAACAAAAAGAAGCTCCAGATCAAATTTTATCTAAATAATCTATTTTTGGAATTGTTATTTTTGTATTAAATTACAGCCCTCACCTAATAACTCTAGGTGTAGAGGTAGGAGGATGAAGTTGGGAGGTGGCATTTTCAGTAAGACCAGAATGCCAGCCAAAAAACTTCCCAAAAAACCCCTCACTGTTTTCTCGATGTCTCCGGGGTCTGCAAAATGCACAAGACCCATATTTTAATGTTTTTTATACAGATTAAAGAAGGCACTGATGCTTAGCCTTAACACGAAGCAGCAGCAGCATTATAAAGAGGTGGAAGGAGTGGTAGTTATACTGTGTTCAAGTTGTCACCTCGTCATATCAGTACTTTTACATATTTATCTCTCACGTTATGGCACCCCCTCGGCACATTCAAGAAGAAAACAAGATAAAGATAGTGGGAGAAAAAATGTTCTAATGTCTGTTGCAGTAGCCAATTGCTCGAATGTGAGTGTTCAGACACCAATTACAATATTTCATCCTCACATTTCAGTAAAACATTCTTACATTTAAAATTAAAATGTACAAGGTCATGACTGCTATCCATTACAGAAACTAAGAAAGATCAATATTACAGTATGCTGTACATTTCATATAACCATTCCATCTGTATAAATGAAAGGGTCTACATCTATTTCTGGTTAGAGGCTCATCAGAAGTGACAGACCTACCTGACACCAGAGGCTCCATTAAGAGTGGTGTTGAAGCGAGGCTGCACGTAAGTCCAGGCACCCTGATTCTTGGCCTCCTCCTGGGCCCAGCACAAAGCAGCATTTGGATACTTTGCACACTCCTTCTTAACCAAGTCATATGGGAAAGGAGAGATCTGCAAGAAAGATTATGTAATAAGTTCGATTAATGTCTTCCATGCAATGATCTAAATTCTAAAATATAAGTATAAGAAAACCATAATAAAGTTTCAAGGAACTTTTCCCTTAAAAGCTGGTGCAAAAAATAAGGCAGGTGAGGTGTGGCCTAGGAAGGGTGAGAGAGTATCTAAGAAAATGAGTAATGTACAGCACTCTGCACCAATTAATGGTCAGTTGTGGCATGGATCTGTTGCAAAAAGTTGTAGTAATGTGTGTCATGTACATAATTTAATGCTGTATCATACATACTTTTCAATGAGCGCTGAAATATAATGAAATTTACAACTGACAAAACCTGATCCTTCTGCATCATGTAATGTGACACCAAAGAAAATATCCCCTCGCTAGCAATGTCTTATTAAGTCCACAAATGTAAACAACTTTCTGTTCTAAAAGTAACTTTTATATTAGTAAAAAGTTTTTTTATTACAAAATTCCAATAATTGGCTGCCAAAGCTTGTGTTAGATTAAGAACTGTGCAAAGAATCTTGCAAGACATGAGAGCTGACAGGTGTTCTGTATTGGCAACAAATATAGATTAAAAATCAAAATGTTACAAAACTGCATAACTTTTAAAACAACATATTAAGAACTGTTCATGATATGTATGACGATGCACAATTTTGCACAGCTCAAATAATAAAAGTTACCAGTGACCTAACAAACAGAGGAGCTAAGTCTTAAAATATGCAACAGGTTGCTGTACAGGCAGGAAGGTTCACTACACTGTGCTGAGAGGAAACAGGAGGGGGGAGGGGGTGATAGTATGTAACAACACAAGAATGAATTCAGTCTGCCACCTACCTATATTTCTTATATTTGCTACAGTGGAGAGGACAAGCATAGGCATGGTAACATAAACACATACTTCCTTATAAAATAAGGGAAGTAGACTGTCAGCTTCTCAACAAAGATTCTGGTACATATAGTTAGTTATAAGCAAATTAGATTAAGAAGTCACCCTAAAAATCTAGTATCCTCAGTGAGATAGGGCTTCAGTACTTGAAAATCCTGTAAAATGTGAATTGCGCAGCAACAGAATATATTTTGTACCTGTTCTACTCTTGCAATGGCAATATCTTTTTCAAGGTTCTTCTCATTACGAGCCTTCTTCAAGTCATAGTACACTTTGCCTGAGCAATATACCAACTTCTTCACAGCACTTGGGTTTTCAGTTGCTGGTCCTTCCTCTGGAATCACCCTGTCACACAAAACAGTTCAATAGATATTCCCAACATAAAGTGAAGCTTTTGTGGCGAGTGAAGATGATGAAAGACCCGAAGCAGCTTGTAACCCTAGAGTCTTTCATCAATTCCTAACATAATTTGCTAACTGGTTTTTTATTTGTTCTTTGCAAGAAGTGCAAAGATAAATGCTTAATGGGGAGGCTGTGTTTTTCCAGATGTTTATCCCTGAAACTACTTGACAAGAGTGGATGAAATGTGGTATTATTTCCACTAAATATTGTCATACGAATTTAATTTTGGTCTGTTTAAGTCCTATATAACCTTGACTTTATTTGAAGTTTAAACTAAATTTACTTTTCTCAAACCCTGCTCCTTGCACAAAAACATAATACAGAACACAATCTATGCAACATTTATACAAAATAATTTTCATTATGGTATGTAAGAGAAAATTAATCATGGCTACAGAGTGTATCTGTACTGTGAACAACTTTATGCAACACACCTTCTATCTGGAACAGACAAATACAAAGGACATCAAAGTATGAGAAAACATAAAAAATACATTAAAAATATGTGATTTACCAGAATTTTTCTTGTCTAAAACAAAACAATTTCTATAATATACACAAATAAATCACCATGTACTGCCAATTCCCATAAGTGAAGTCACAAAGACACAACAAGCAATTTCCTTTTTCACTTTTTGGTATATAAACAATTACCTCAAAAATTCTGTATTTTCTGTCATCAAGTCAAAACTAGACCTCGCTTCTGGATGTCTCAGCAGGGATTTTGGTGTCATGAGGATCAGAGGCTTGCGGAATGGGAGAGCAATCTGTCGCCGCAAGATGTGAAAATAGTTTGCTGGTGTCGAACAGTTGGCAACCTGAAATATGAACATAGCAAAGCATTTTAGTTTCTCACCCCATCTCATAAAAATAAGGCAGTATTTACTGACCTAACACTGTACTATACACCCTTGTCAAACAACACACAACATTACCTCATTTTGAGTTCAGAACATAATTACAGGACAGTGAAAACAGAAAAGCTCAGAAAAATATGAAAGTCATACCAAGAGTCATGAGTCATGAGCACATTTACTGTATACTGAAACAAACATACATGAACGATAACAGATACAGTCAATAGTACTTGAATATGTCCTATTACTTTTCTACAAAATCTTACGAATGATCCACACATCTTTGCCAGCACTGCATGAGCTTAAAAATCTGTTCCCAGAATTGACAACCAGCTACAACTGGATCCCTGCATTGCCTCATACCTGTACTACTGGCCTTTCATGTAATTTTAAAATTATTTATTATATATGATTTCCTTGCCAGTTTTCCTTTTGTGTTGTGTTTGGTGGGTCAACATGTAAAGCCTTCACTGCTAGTCAATGATGATGAGGATAATGTCACTATTATATACTTCGTTTATGTATGTTTTGAGTTAACAGTGCTGTCCTAGAAAAAGATACACTGGAGGAAGGAACAAGAAGAAACAAAGTTAGTGATTAAAAAGATTTAATTTCAATCCCAGAACAACTACAGGGCCCTGAAAATAATACCAAACTGCAAGCTACGAAGAGAAATAAACCAAGTTTCTGCACAAATCTCAGAATACATTCCCAGTAATTGTTTTATCAATTCTCTTTACACAAATTCATTAAATTTAAGCCATAAATAATCATGCAGACAACTTCAGAAAAATCATTTGTGCATCTTCATCACTCTGATGTCTTTCATGAGGAAGATGTGTGAACTTGTAACTATGTATTAAATATTTCACAAACTGCAACTCACAATCCAGTTGATGTCATGCAGCTGCCGAACAGCAAATTCTTCACTTTCTGGTGGAAAGTAATCAGGATCATCAGACGACATTTGCAAGAATCTCTCCAACCTAGCACTAGAATGTTCAGGCCCCTAGAATAACAGAGAAACATATAGCTCACCACACAAATGCAGCAGTAACAGGCAAAACACAAATAACAGGAACCAATAAAAACAGAACCTCTCACACATTCACACAAATGAGACATAAACCTATTTTCAGTCCTAGGTCAATGAGATACAATACGACTGTTGACCGAATTGTCTCCTATGCTTTCATTCCATTAAAAATGTTTTAATGTTTCTCTTGTGTGTTCATTTTTCTGTTTGTGCAATAACTTCAGCCTTAAACGGGCCCAGCACTCTCATTTTAAAATCATTAATTTACATATTATAATCACAGTTGATCCCTATTCACTCTGTGCATAATTTGTGAAGCTTAAAAATCCGCTTGTAGGTCATTTACTTATGTATTTTGTTCGCAGTTTTAATGGCTCACACATTTCTTAGTATCTCTTCATATCTTTCTCACAAAATGTTGTATATGGTTCTTGGAAGAAAATGTATAAAATTAAACTTACCATGCCTTCCAAAGCATGAGGCAGAAGCATCACGAGACCAGACTGTCGTACCCATTTGGCTTGGCCAGATGAAATGAACTGATCAATGATACACTGTGCAGTATTGTTGAAATCTCCAAACTGTGCTTCCCAGCACACCAGAGCATTGGGATTGGTCATAGAGTATCCAAGCTCAAAACCTAAAGAAGAAGAAGGGGAAGAAACCACACACAAAGGTTTTATTTCAGCCAATTAGCAGGCACCATAACACTTATTTGTATAAATACTTACACCAGGCCTGCCAAACATGCATCCCACTATCATACAGCATGCTTACATATAAGAAAATATCAGTTTTTGCAGCTGTCACACTTACAAATTTATGTTTAACTGACCAGTAGAAAATTAGTTTTGTTATTACTTTCAGCAATATAATTGCAAAATGGATGACTGTTACTTGTAGGCACTGGAATCTCTTGCTGGGACTTTTTATTGCCAGGATTAATTATATGAATTGTTTTAAATTTTGAAAACAAATTACTGACTATAAATTAATGACATGTTACAATTCATTATTCAATACATTCTTATATTTTAAGCAACATATTCTATCAAATTATTGTTTCCATCATCTGATGATGTGAACTGGGCTATGTGGTCAAATTATAAAACTGACCCAGAAGAATACAAAAATTGAGCAGATCCAACTTTGTGTGTTCAAAACTACTGAAACTGGATTAGCCATAACAATGTATAAATATTCCTGTTGCCAGTGGGAAGTTTTCATAAATTTACAATATGGAAGTGACTTGATGAACATTTGCATTTATTCAGGAGCACTGGTCAGTAAAACCTTGGATAATGTCTCTATCTCCTTGTCTGTGAATAAGAAAGAATGGAAGAACCTTTTGAAGAAGGCCAGGGCTCACACAGGGCTGAGCAGCCAATGAAGATGATGATGATGATCTCTATCTCCTAAACCCTCTCATATAAATGTTATTTGTGTAGATTCTTCATAAGAAACAATGAAACATTTCAGATCCTTCACTACTGTCAGGTTCAAACTTATGCTCTGAAAGGGAAAGAAAGAATGGAGAGAAAACTGAAAATGAGAGGTGATCCTGCTCATGGCTTCATATGAATGACAATTTTTGTGGTTATGTGGTAAACTGTGTTCTATTACATACTTCCTGAAATTAAGAACACAGACATCCATTTGCATATTTTGCTACTTCAAAGTCTGAAATGGAATAGATAGCATATTTAACTACTTCAAAGTCTGAAATGGAATAGATAGCTATAATAATTATGCTATGATTTAAAATAGTCCTTACAAATTTGTTTTCCTATTATCTCCATATTACCTAAATCCTAATATCTTAACTGAATTGAATATTAAATTTTGCTTTAATAATTATAACCTAAGCTAACCCAAAATATGCATCATGCACACAATTTCTTTGGAAAATAATGTGGATGTCAAAACTAAGTAAATTAAAGCTGTCCTTATATATGCCATGTAGGCGATTGGGGAGCGAGAGGTAGTATAGTTCCTACTCATTCTTGACCTGGGCACTAGAAGAGAGGTGAGCGGTCAGTATCACGCCAGGAAAGGACACCGGTATCCATTGGATAGGAGGCTGGGTGGGCCCCAGAACGAGTCTGGGCGCAGAGGCTAGAGGAAAAATCCTCTGTCCAGTCGGGAATCGAACCCCAGACGTCCAGTCCATAGCAGTCACTATACTGACTGAGCTAAACCAGCTCATATAACAAAACTAAATACATTTCCAAAAGGTTTGAAAACCTCTGGTAAACTATGAACTAAAAATACTTACCCACAACTCCAAACTCTGACAATGAGCTATTGCATACAGTGTATGGACCCTGATCAGGATACATGTGGCACAGAGGTTTGTATGTAGCCTTGTCCACTGTCTGATGGTGGAGAACATGGTGGCGATGGCTGCAGATCAATTCAATAAATAATTATAAGATCATTACTATAATTCAATAACACTGTCATCCTCACAAACTGAAACTAAAACTCTGGTATCAAAACCAAAGGTTTTCTGTATCATGTACCCTAATTCATTTCTTACTTCATCCTTCTGCTTCCTTACAAAAACATTAATTACCAACAAACTTACTAGTAACACTAATACAATTTTTCAGCTATCATGCAATAAAACCAAGGGTAGCATATGTATGCATGTGTATATTTTATTATAGTCAGATACAGCATTCTGAAATCATACCTGAAGGTCCCTCTTTCAACATCCTGACCACTTAAGCGAACATGTATTCCTTCTTTCAGCAGGGAGCCAAATGCCATTGCTTCACCAAGAGCCCAATCTACAATGCGTGCTTCCACCATTTCCATACGAGACTTAAGGATACGTTCAATACCTGAAAACATTAAAAGAATGTATGGCACAACAGAGCGACCAAATTTTTAAATTATATACTCAATTAAATATAAGGTAACAGCAAGAACAAATAATCTGATGTAAGTAGGCCCAAACGTGTGATCATGCTCAAAATATGGTATGATTATATTTTGATATATCCACTGAAGAAACTAAACATACACCATTTCTTACAACCAATTTCTCTCACTTAGGTCCTAAATAATTATTTCAATTTCTGATTCCCTTCATTTAATATGTCCCCCAGTTTTGAATCAAAAACTGGGCCACATGAATCCAGTCTCTCTGTACACTTTCAGACCCTACTTCACATGACAATTTATGTTATTATCTTTCCATTTCTTAATAGGTTTCCAAAACTGTCTCTTCCCTTTACATTTCTGGATCAGAACTTTGTATTTCTCATATGCCCCATATATGTTCCATGACCACCTATCACATCCTTCTTCATTCAACTGCACTAAAAGTATTACGTAAAAATATATTAAGAAGCTTCTTATTATGTAATTGTTCCCAGTATTCTGTTACCGCATCTCTTCTAAAATCTCAAACATATTCCAAAACCTGTACTCTCAAACTCTCTTCTCTTTTATGAGAGACCAAGTTTCACACCCCAAAAACAACAGGCAAAAAAACTCTTGCATATTTCAATCCTAAACACAAAAAGGTATAAACATACTAAATGGAGGGAATTCTAAAACCAGATAACTGAACTGGAAGTAAAGTTAAATATTAAATGAAAGAAAACCTTAAATCATAACATTAAATAAGCAGGAAGGCAGACTGAAAGAGCCATTCCATTCAACACAGTGTTTTAGTCAGTTTCATTCACTGTATTCAGAAAGTAAAATACAAACCAAACAACCTGGCCTACTGAACACTTTTCTACTGAAGTGATGGATATCTTTTTGTTTGTTTGAATAAACTATAATGTGGGTTCAATAAATGATGGGGTAGGAAATTTATTAGGGTATTACTATTTTTGATAAAATTTCCTAGAATTAATTTCAGCTTTAAGGTATACAAAGGAAAAATTTTCCTACTTAAATCAGCAATAATCAACCTTATATTAAAATCTGAATAGTACCAAAAGATCACATTTATATGAAAGCATGCATTAATGTTGATAAGGGAATCCAAATTTCAACATATATTTTAAAAACCTATATACACAACTAAGCATTGTGACCAAAAATTGTAGACCACTGATATAAAAAGTACTAACCCTTATGAATAATAAATTCTGCAGCATTCGGTGGTGGAGAAGACATTCTCTTGCCGATGTGCACAAGAGTGTCCTCTTTAACCCCAGTTGGTGATACTTTCAGAGGATCCTTGCCCTCAAAAAAGCCTGACCATGGAGAGTCAAGCCAATCTTTGTACTTGATGTGAGTCTCTTTGTGAGCATTGACATACGACTCCTCACATATCTTCTCATACTTGTCTTTCACATCCTTAAAAGAAACACAGAACAACAACATTCATTTACAACATGTTGGGAGCTACACAAAATATCATTTTAGCTCTCCATGAACCCATCCTCTTATATATGTAGTCCCCATTCCTAATATATTAATTGACAATCGCACTACAGGACATGAATAAGTCTTCATTACCACTAACAAATTCATCACACATTTGTACATTCACCCAGATTTCATGATCTCACAGCAAGAAGTATCAAGATGACAGTCTTCCAGGATGGTGTACCATGTAATCTTATAGAAACTGACATTTCAGAGGTGATTACTGCCTCCACCACAACCCAAATGTGTCTTATTAGAAAGCACTTCCCAAATTTAATATGCTCTAATTTCAAGATGAATGTTACTGTGATTGCATCTCATTACTGTATGATTTGAGGTTTCCATGGTGATAAGTTTAAATGGTGGTCTTTTGGTGGTGTGCCATGCAGTCTTGTGATTACATACCAAAATTCCAGAGAAGAAAACAGTCTCCATTTTCAGGGTTTAAGATGGAGGCACAGACTACATGATGCTACATCTCACCTCAATACTGTCTGTGGCACAAAATTCTGCAGGGAAGTTCAACATGGGAGAGAAAAATACAATGTGCTTTATTGGTTATTTTTTTTACCATATTTCAATGTACTTACCTTGACCTCTTCTGGTGTAACAACTCCTTCTTGGATCAGTCTTTCAGAATATTTGTCCAGAACAGGTGATGTGTGCTTTATCTTTCGGTACATCAAGGGCTGAGTGAACATAGGTTCATCAATTTCATTGTGGCCATTACGTCGGTAGCACACCTAGAAATCAAAACACAGATTATGAAAATGTCTTACGACTCTAACATGCAATTATCAATATTGCAAATAGATGGATGGTTGCAAAACTGTGCTTCAAAAGCCATAAAATTAATGTTATATTCAAAGTGTTCTGCCATAAGCAAGCCCTACTTCTCCCTCACTTAAAACAAAATGCTGTATTAACCTAAAAGTAAAACTACCTTTAAAGTTAAAAACATTTAAAATAATAACAATCCATTATTTTGAATAAGTATATAATACAGATTCCACTCAAATATTTTATTCACAAATTAATGAGCAAATGGTAGTGCCAATGAAAGCAAATAATATTTAAAAATATACTTAACCAGATTTCAAGGAAAGAGTCCAACTAAGAGATTTTTGTCCATTTCAAAATAAATATTTTATGAAGACCGGGAAGGCATAACACACATTTTATGAGATTTTGTCTACCTAGTCATACTACATACATCATATTGCACAAAACCATAGAAGATATTTCCTTGTACTTCAATAAATAGACAACTTCCTCAAACATGTGTTAAATATTAGTTGTAGATACTCATTTGTTTCATATATACATAACGTTTTTATGTAAGCCACTTTTTAGGGCAATTACAAATGCTCCTTTGTGATTCTTATAAAGAAGAGGTTATATTGGACCAATTCAGACCAACTTTAAATTCACTTGAAAACTTTTAACGCAGATCCCAATAATTAAATAGATAATTCTGTGACGTTTTGAATATGGAATATGTGACAACTTAAATTTGTAAAACAAAGCTAAATATTAGTTTACATACTCATGATATGTTTCATTTATACACATAGCATTTTTATATAAGCCACTTTTTAGGGCAATTACAAACTTTCTTTTGTGATTCTTATAAAGCAGAGCTTATATTGGACCAATTCAGACCAACATTAAATTCACCTGTCAAGAAGTTTGAAGATGAAATATGTGACTACTTAAATTTTAAAACAAAGTTTAAAAAATTAACTGAAAACGTACAATGTCAATCACAACATCTTTGTGGAAAGCAGCCCTCCATTCAGCAGCAATTTTACATACATGCATCACAGATTCAGGATCATCAGAATTTACATGGAATATTGGAGCATTCACTACACGAGCCACATCTGGAAAAGAAAATTAACAGTGTTTACAAATTGAATATCCCCTAATCTCACATTACTGACAATGATAACGCACATGATAATTATACTGTATCAACAAAGTCTCCAGGAATACAATTTAAACCAGCTTAGCAAACCCTCTAATGCAAAGTCTCACAGTATGAATTAAATTAAATCTGTCGCGTAACAGCTCCAGAGAGCCAAAGCTGACTAGCTTGACTGCTGGCCTCACGTTCACATGCCTAAGCAGAGGTGAACGATCATCCAACCAGATATAGGGTGACCTGTGGTCAGCACGACGAACCCCCAGCCATTGCTAGTTTTCATGACCGGATTACGCTACTTATTGTAGCTCCCCAATTTTGTCACGATGCTGGGTTGGCACCGATCCCACACACTGGTCGAAAATCTCATGAGAAAATTTCTTCTCCCCTGAGACTCGAACCAGCGCGCATTCCGTATCGCCGGTCCGAAGCATGATGCCTCAGACCTCGCGGCTACAGCGCGGGACTCTCACAGTATGATTCATACTATTATATAAAGGCAGATATTAAAAACCAAACCTCAATATTATAAACACATTCTTAAAAATGTGACACATTCATACTTGGGAATGGCAGTAACTAATCAAAATTACATGCATGAAGACATAAAGAACAAATCAACTTTGGTGCAAGCATGTCTATCCATTGCATGCCTAAAAGCCATATAAAATCATATGTGGTGGGAAAACTGTTGTAACTTGCAAGACCTAGCCACAGATATTAAGATGAACCTTAAAAAAATAGGGTAATAGTGAGCAACAGACTTTTCTGATTTAGGATAGAGTCCTGTTGCAAGCTCTTGTGAATAGGGCAAAGACTCTGTTCATGGCGTTAGTTAAATGCTGAAATCAGAAAATAAACATAACATATCCTTTACCCTGCTTTCTGATCCTCACATAAAATCAATAATTTGTTTCTTTAATTTTTAACTGAGGTCAGAAACATACTCATCATATACCTCTTCATAAACTTGCCCAAGATGAATGATGGGGTAACATGAGTAACATGTTCTAAGAACACTGGTATCAACTTTACAGGTTACGTAACACTGAACACAAAGTGATGATAACACAAATGTCGAGTTGGAAAAGATTTGAATGTCATATTTTGAAGGTGGTGTTGCAGAACTACAAGGATAAACAGAAAAACATCAGCCATGGTGACTGTTTTCACTGTTAAAAACACAAATCAGATATGTTAAATAACAAGCAAATCTACCTGATCATACTATGCCTTCATTGCAAAACACCTCATTTTACTATGAATGATAATGACAATGATAAGACATGATGATGATGAAATATGATTGAAAAGTATCAAAAACTGCAATGTTTTTTTTTTGGGTGATCAAAAATGTCAATGTGGAATAATTCTCTAAAGTCTCAGATGCTATCTATCTGTCTCTGCCACCAACAACAGGGATAAAGTGATAAGTGATAAGAGACAAATTAACAAATACACAGGGTTATTACAAATAAAATATATAATTTTAAATTCTATTTTGAACAAATTAGTAGTCCTACAAAAGTTATACTAATATAAATGTATACTACTAAGATATTTTAAAACTACACAGATTATTGATATGAGATACAATGACATCAAATTGAAACTGATAAAGAAACTTCTTCCAGATCTGCAAGATTTCTTGTTCAATTGAAGCAATGGTTTCACAAATTCCATGTTCTAATTATCAAGCCCAGTTGGTGTGGGACACAGACATGACCTTAACATAACCTCACTAAAAGCAGATGTAGGGCGCGTATTGGTTTATGGGTTCCACAGTCAATCCATCTTCCAAAAAACTGTTTACATACCAATATAAGTTCCTCACATGATGTGGATGTCATCTTAAGGCACTTGAAAACTCAGAAAACAGGTCCTTTAATTATTCTTTCAATGCATTCTAATGCAACATCTGTAGGAAAATTAGTCTTTACAAAATAAATTTCTGAAAGGTTGTACTTTGTATGTAAAACTCCTACACATACACAGACCTTTCATAATTATGTTTGCACTGGCCAAAGCTGGCAACATTTCATGTGCTTCACTTACCAGTACAATATGGAGATGATCTTGAATGTCTTGGGTCAGTAGTGAATCCAATCTGGTTGTTAACAACGATATGAACAGTTCCATGTGTTGTGTAGTCAGGGAGATCAGACAAATGGAAAGTTTCATAAACAATTCCTTGCCCACAAAAAGCTGCATCACCATGCAGAAGAAGAGACATTACCTAAAACAGTTCAGCACTACTTGCTAACTCTGCTTTCTATACATAACAAGTATGATTATCAAAACATGGTCACTATTGCCATGATGCACAACTCAGTTCCAAAAGATTAGTATTTGGAGTAAACAAAAGATTCAGATGTATTTACCTGGTACCAAACTACATTTCACATGTCTAATTACTATAATTCATCATTTAACACTGAATGAGGTAGTGTTAAATTCTGCCCCCAAAGCATCATGTACAGCTATTATTGCTGCATTTTCTAATGTGTAACACAAAGGTTCTTGACCTTTTCTGCTTCAAATACCAGTAGAACAGCTGAGGATTTGATGTAGACTCTATCAGTCTCACGCTGCATACTACTACTAACAGTCTATACATCCAATTATTAATATCACATCTAAACATGTTGAGATGGGTAGGTCATGTTAAACACAAGTTGGCATTCAAACTTTTGGTCTGGAAACCTCATGTCAAAAGACTAAGAATTTTGCATAAATGGGAGAATAATACAAACATGGAGCTTACAGAAATAAGGTTACAAGATGCATTCTGCATTAAACTAGTGCAGAATAGGGTAAAATGGTGGTCTTTAGTGAACATAATAGCCTTCAGGCCCCATGAAAGCAGAAAAAAATTTCTTAAATGGTTAAGTAACTATAAATTTGTCAACAGTTACTTCATTAGTTAGAATAAGAGCTAAATAATTAGAATAATAAACTACAAATTCCAACCACCTGTTAAGTTACTTTCACACACAAAAAAAGTAGAATGCTTGTGTTCTATTCACAGCCATATATGAGAAAGCAACACAAACTCACCTTCTTGCCTTCACCATCTCCTCGGTAGAACTGTTCTGCTCGTGTTTTTCCCTGGACAACTGGATCCGCTGCTTCAAGATGTGAGGGGTTGGCAACAACAGCCAGCCGAATGTTCTTATTAGTCACACGGTTCAAACGTTCAATGTACGTTCCCAGATGGTACTTCACATCACCTGATCCCTGCCAAACCACAAAACAGCAGTACTGTTTTATTAAATGTTAACTGCCACCATAACTATTTAATTTTCTTTTATCATAAATATACCAGACAATAACCTTAATGATTCATTTGAGCTACATGTAAAGCTGTATATGCATATACATGTACTGCATTAACTCAATTACTATTAATTACATCAAAGAATACCATACAGGCAACTCTCGGTTTATGAACAAGTTCCGTTCCAAGATGTTGTTCATCATACGCTTTTGTTCGTTATGTGTATCTTGCATTCCTGAGCTTTTACGATATTATTATACATTAGAATAGGGGAATCACCGATTTCTTTCCCACGAGAAAACATTGGATGTGGTGTGGCATGTAAACCAATGTTTCTTTACTGGCTAGATTAGTTTTATTAACCAAGAACAGTTCAGTATAATTATAATATAATAATTTTCTAATAATTATTGTAATAAATACATTTCTTAAAAGTCTATTTATTTAAATCTTACAATTATGTTCACTATACGTTTGACATTTCGTTTTATAAGGAACTCTATCTATTGGCGACTTTAAGAAATTTTGAATGAATTGTGACGTTAGTTATAGCGAATGTTTGTTAATCGAATGTGCGTAAACCAAGTATTGCCTTATTTTATTTTCTGCCTTTAAATTAACCCCTTGAACCTAAAGCTCTAAATAATATTTAAAAATTCAGTTCCTACCTCAAAGAAAACATTACTTTCCATTACAAAGGCAACTGGTTAATGTTTAAGAAAATAATTACTATTTACTCTGAGAATCATATAAAACCCATAAACACATTCCGTGGACAAAATGCAGAGTAACTGGTTCTTAAATAGGTGGTACATATAGTTGCTGTTGGTCTTCAAAAGGTTACTGCTAAATTAATTTTTATTTAATGACACGCAATGCATCCACTCTCTAAAATCAAAAGTTAGTGAATTCTCATCTCTTGAGTACATTTATCATCTTCAAGAAAGAGCCAAACCATAAACAACACACAACAAAAAGCTGTCACTCACATCATCAGCAGCTTCCAATGCTGCAAACTGTGTGAAGATCTGCTCCAAAGGTTTACGGCACACATTGGCCAGCACATTAAGACGGCCACGATGAGGCATACCCATTACAATGGACTCCACTCCAAGTTCTGTTGACTTGTCAATCACCTGTTTCATGGCTGGGATAAGAATCTCGCAACCTTCAAGCCCAAATCTCTTCTCACTTGACCACTTCTTGGCAAGGAAGCTTTCAAACCTTAACATACAATAAAATATACATTACATCCTCAGGTTCAATCAAAATGAGAAAAAAAGTAAAACATTTTCCCTTTTTGCTAATGTGGGATTTTTCAATTACTTTCTCTCCCATTCCTGATGTCTGTAAACATTCAACATAAACCTACCAGATTGAAAATTGCTGGAGATCTTTTTGGTCTAGATACACAAAATATCATAATCAAAGAGACACATTCTATTAAGTAGCCAACTGGAATCAAGAGGTTAAGCACTTTCTATTCACGAGATTGGATGACATAATATATGCAAATGAAGCACCATATGACCCTCTAATTTAACCTTGAATACCAATAATTACTCTCTGGAAGGTTATTACTTAATCTCCACATGTGCTTTGAGAAACAGAAAACAAATTAAAGTATATCATTACACAGCAGAAACATCAAGTTAGTGAAATTAAATCATGACTAAACTTTTAACTGGTTGTGTAACCTAAGAGCAGGTACAACTAAAATCATTTCTGGGCCAACCCCCCATCATCTAGTGATGGGCATTCTAGCCTAGCATTTGAAAGTTCCCAGGTTCAAACCTGTTTGTTTGCTAAAAATAAAATGTGTCAGCATAACAACAATCAATCACCTGAAAACAGGAGTACAGCCAACTCCCAAAGTGTCATGTATATCAAATAAACCTCAATGCCCAACATGGCGTTCCTACAACAAAACTTACAGCCAAATTAACTGCAAAATACTGATAATTGTCATTCAGGAAGCAAAATTTACATTTTAATCCTTATATGACGACATTGTGTAGCCACGGTAGCTCAGTCAGTATAGTGGCTGGCTACAGACTGGACAACTAAGGTTCAATCTCCAACAGGAGCAGAGGATTCTTTTCCTCTAGCCTCTGTGTCCAGACTGGCTCTCACCCAGCTTCCTGCCCAATGGGTATTGGGGTCCTTTCCTGGGAGTAAAGGTCAGCCGGGGTGTGACGCTGACCACTCACCCTTATCTACTGCCAAGGTTATGAATGAGTAGGAGCCATACTCCCCCCCGCAAGTGCCTACATGGTGTGTAGAGGGACAGCTTCACTTTTTTTATGGTGATATTTTTGGCAATTGCACTGTATAAACACATTCTTGACCTTGGCACTAGAAGGGCTTGAGTGGTCAACACCATGCGCCGAACCATGCTTCACCCCTGGTCAAAGGCCCCACAGGTGGTCTGGACACAAGAGGTTGGATGAAAGATCTTTTGTGCCTGTCAGGGATAAAACCCCAGTTGCCCAGTCCACAGTCAGACACTATACTGACTAAGCTACCCTAGCTCATATCATAACATCACACACCTATCTCATCTTTTCTTACAGAATAAGAAATTAGGCCAATATATATGCAAAACTGTTCTTTTAGACTTTACTCTTCATCAAAATAATACAATTATTAAAACTATACTTCTTATAATTTTATAATTTAGACATTGGATGAAGTCCAAAAGACCATATTACATATTATATAACACACCATTGTCAGAAACCTTCAAACTTTGACTGTTTCCACTGTCTGCTCACCCAGTGGCTCTTGTGAGACGAGCAAGAATCAGCCGCTTTTCATCATTATCCATCTCCATAATTCCAGGGCTTTCCAGCTTCTGTCTGATCCAGTTGCACTGTTCAAGCGAGTTGATGAACATGAACTCGCATCCAATGTGGCGACAATAGGCTGTCTCAAGTCTCCGTAAGATCTCACGCAGTGACAGCGCTTTCTCTTTACCACCAATGAATGTTGTAGATGGCAGTTTGAATACCCTGTCCATATCGGCCTCATCTGTACAAGAAATTTATATCAACTAACAGTGACACACAACAAATGAGCCAGTATATTATCCTTTATCAGCCCACTGTAACTGGCAAGGAACATGAACTGTTACATCTTAAATGCATTTCATGCCACATGGTAGCATAATGAATTGTGCTTTTAATTAAATACTTAAATTTAATTTGACTATGGATATCTGCAGGGGAGATATGTGTGGTATGATAAGCATTAATGTGATTACCACAAGAAGTTGCAACCTTCAAGCCAGAATCTATCATTTTAAGACACATTAATTTTAATTCACTAAATGCTGAACAGCAATACCTTTCCTTCTTGCCGAAGAAGATCAATGAAGAAACAATAAAAATTCCATTACATATTGAAACAACAATGTAAAACGGAAAGAAACACACCAAAGTGTATAAAAACTATCAAATTCCTGAAAAGTCAGGACGCCTTGAAGCGTATAATGACTTGGAAAATGTGAGTCTGCAGAAAATTCCAAACACAACTATCCTGTGACAACGATCAACAGTAGACTGGAACAATCAGTTTCCAACTTCAGCAAGCAGAAAGGAATATGAACAATGACCCCACCTCAATAAAAAACTAAATTATGCCTGTGCCCAAAGACACTGCCATGAAGATATTTTGGGGACTGCAGATAAACTGCCACACATTATTATAAACCTTGGTACTAGTTGCACATGAGTAGTCTACTGCAAGCTCTGGTTGCTTTGTCCCCAATATCCATAGATAAGAGACTGGCTGTTGAAAAATATTTGCTTTGTCCCCAATATCCATGGATAAGAGACTGGCTGTTGAAAAATATTCCTGACAGAAATAAAACCAGTTACTATCCAGCCTGAAGCCTTGTTTCTTTTCTCACCGAGCTAAAAGGTAAATGTGCTATTAAATAAACCAGGGATAAACAACATCTCATTCAAAATGGCCTCAAACATCCAGGTTAAAGCCCATCTCTCTAAACAAAGAACAATATATATAAATGTGAAGTTTGAAACATGTCAAATCTAGCAATTTCCTATTCATAATTTCCCAGTTTTGAAAATTTGCGAAAGATATTTAATAAACATATGAAATTACCTTCACATATTTAACAGAAGTAGAATAAGTATGTATAAATAACTACCAAATTATACCTGGTTCATAAAAGCACATCACTTTGAAATAAAGCAGAGAGAAATATTTACATACAAATAAAGCAACACAACACACACCAACATGCAGCAACATAACAGAGTTACATTAATATGAATACTACAGAGTACACACACACATAAGGAATTAGAAAATATTATTAGATCTTCACAGAAATTAAAATTTTGAGAACAGTGGCTTACAGCTTTATATACTGTAAACTTGTAAACAATGTTATTCTGTGAGATATATGCACAGATCTAAAAACCAAATATTTTACAATGTGAAATAGAACAATAAGGGGAGTAAGGGGATGTATAGTGAGTCAGCCTGCACAAAATGCTGCTCATCATCAAGCTGTCAAGGAGCTGGGCTGTTTCTTGGCCTGTTATGGTCTCAGATATTTAATAGTCTCTTCAGTCATCATCTTTTATTTCTTGCTTTAGTCAGTCTGTACATCAGCAAGCCTCTCTCTCCATTCTGTGATATAACCATTTTTATGCAGTCCTAAATACCAGTCAAATACAAATTTGACCTAAATGTGTTTTCTAAAGTTTTCGCAGCAACTAACAGCAATAAAGTACTCTTGGGATGTCAGCTGTGTAGAATAAAAATCACCGACACTTCAGGGACCATGTCTGTCCCCATCATCAGGTCTATGATGTAACTGCGTGTCCAGACCATCCTACATACATACATACATATATATATATATCTATCTTCCCAGAGCATGGGCACAGACAGTCTGTGAAACATTGGTGATTTTTAACCAGCTGACTGCCTGAGGAGAATTTATTAATGTGACCTTTGGTTCATGTGACAGGCCTGGTTTCTTTTGTAGTATTTATTACTTCATTTATTCATTTTTGGTTCAAAGTGGCTGAATAATATGAACCACTTTCCTTATTTACATCATTTTAGTTCTGTTCTAGCCAGGAATCAAATCATCGAAGATCCAACAGTATATCATTTCACCAAGACTCCAAAACTCAATTCTTGTGTACATACAATATTCAAACTTATTTGCATTACTAGTTACTCACATAAAGTATAACTTGCTTTGTTCATAACTCTGTTATCTGAAGTCCACTCATGTCATCAGAAAGCTGGAGGGATGTGTCATACAGTACAACAAACATTACATAAACATAACCTGAACCCACACCATGACTGAAATTAAAATGTATCGAAAATAAAAACTGAATAAGCAGGGTATTAAGACATTCTCCAATGGTGTAAAACACATTTCCCAAATCTATTCTCTGCTGTTTTACGTCCCTACGTTCATTTATTCCTAATATAAATTTAATATTGCAAAGTTAATCATAATAAAGACATCTGACCAAACTGAAATTATGTTTGGCACTAAATGGAGATGAGGAGTTAGTTAACTTCACAAGCTGACCACTTTACTTCTAGGAAAATAAATCAGATATGCATTGGACAGGAGGGTGGATGGGTCCCAGAGCTAGTCTGCACATGCTAGCAAAAAGAAAAATCCTGCAGTCAGGAACTGACACCTAGCCATCCAGCATGCAACCAGTAACTATACTGACTGAGCTATCCTGCCTCACTGAGCCAAAATTAAATTCACCCAGTAACATTTAATGCAGATATTCAATACTAAACTTAATCAAAACTCATTCCACAGTTTTGGAGATCAGACACATGAGCAGATGGATGGATACACTTTATACACCGAACGGAATGGCACACAACACAAAATAACACAATTACCCACGAAAATTCGAATATTTCACTGCAACTTTATGCTGACAATAGAGTAGCATTACCCAACCTTAAGTATCCATTTCTCCATTGGCAAATTACACACAACTGTAGTCACTTAACAAATCATGTGCTGGTTTATATTATTCAGCTTGAATATTAACAGTGGTTGATTTATCCACTGCAGAATTATTTTCTTGAATGAAACATATAATCATTACACAGGTAGAGTACGTCACTAAACTACTTAAAGCAAAAGAGAAATACTGTATAACAATTTGGTTCAGAATGATAGTACAATGCTGATGAATATCTAACTCGTGACATATATTTCATTGGTTTATCTAAGCAAGCACACCAGTGCTTACATAGCCTGTGATGTTTGTTTTATGTATTCTCGGGTCTTCTTTCCACTGTAATGGGCCCTTTTTTCATGAAAACACAAAAAGAAAGTTTAAATCCATAACTTAACTTTATGGAGCAAAGTTATTCAATTAGTCCAGAAATTCCCTGCTCTTAAGGTACATCACTATGAATGGACCCTATCATGAGCCAGTTAAATACAGTCTACACACAACTTTATTATGGTCTACCTTAGTATCATCCCCTCTACGCCTCCAAGTCTGCTTCAGACTTAATGACCAAAATCTTATGAACATTTCTTGTCTCTCATTTGAGCCATTAGCCCCACCCATCTTATTAATTTTATGTGTCTCACCTGCAAATTATAAATTAAGGATTACAAGAACTCATTTTAAATACAATATTCAAGCTCAGTTGTATCAATACAGTACAGTTTATCACAGTTACCAAGCCACCCATATTGTAGTACCTCAGAAAGCTAAAATAAATTAGTTACGTACGTTCCATCATGGAGGCCACTTTCTGCTGCAGGTGTTGTGAATATGTCGTACTTGGTCTCTTGCCTGAATGAAACATTGCAACATAATACATAATGAACAAACATGCATGCAAAATAATACTGAAGCTCTCTGTTAATATCATTCACACGCCATTTCTAAATTACACAGCACACCTCAGGGATACAGAGAACAATGTATCTCAAACACAACATACCAGTTCATATGCTGGAATAAAAGTTTTAGGAAGAATTTACAATTCCTTGCACTCCTTCAAACTTCTCCATTTACAAATTAATAAGATTATAATTTAGTTATTCACTTTTTTGTATAGGTTCCACAAAATGTAAATGCTCCCATCTATTTCATCAGCAGAGAAAGAGCTAGCAGGGTGGGCCCCAGAGTCGGCCTGGACATGGTAGAAAAGAGAAAAGTCCCTGCCCCTGCCAAGAACCAAATGCCAGTCACTTGACTAGTTCAGCTAATTTTCCTCTAGTGCACTTTGCAACTATCTTAAACTTGATAGACATAACATGAATGTCTTGTATTGTAGCCATCTTTCTAAATGTTGGCACAAATAATAATTTATAAAGAATTTATAGGTATGTTTATGATCCATCACTACACAAAGTTCACATTCTA